ATATCAATTAAAATACAACAAAAAATAAGATAATTTTCTAAAAATTAAAACTTTATTAGAAAATGTATTGAGACCAATTACATCAATCCTATATAATAAAAAGAGAAGCAAAATGACTAAGTAAGTGTTTATATGACAACGAATTTCGGCTTTATTACGCCTTCAACTGACTGGTTTATTGTCAGGGCTGAAATGATTAAAAACGTTGATATTACATAATATTATTAACCATTCTACAAAAAGGTTTACAGAAAAATCAAACAAGCAAACAAAAAACTAAATATAACTCAAACAAAAGGTTCTCTACATCTTCAATTTTTAAAGCATTTGTGACAAAGAAAACAGTTTTACTCCTCAATCTGTATTATGAGTTTGTCAAATTTAAATATTTCAAACAACGCTATCCTGTTTTGTTTCTTCCACTTGGGAAATTAACATCGGGTACTGTTAGGTAAGATAGAATATACTCACCAATATCTACCTAATAAATTTAAAGATAAAATAGGAACTCGACAATTAATACTGTTGCTATTACAATTATATATACAGAGGGAATTTGATTGATTCCTGTTGAATATGTATTCAACGGGAAAGGAATGACAATTTTTTTTCCCCATTTTTAGCGTTCAACGATGAAAGTATCAATGCCAAAAAAGTGCGGAAATTATTACTGTAATATTTGACGCCAAACTCTAAAATCGTCATTCGCAACATTTTGATTGGACAACTCAACCCATTGTTATTGTATTCTAATATTATCTGGTAACATTTACTTGCGAGAACGTTATCAATTGTGTAATGACGTAAATGTCAGCCATAGCTTATAAAGCAATGGTATACCGAAAGAACCACTTATTCTACAGTGGCTTTGCCTGGACAGAAATTATTCGGCTTCGAATTAAGTGAATAGAAAGCACTGCTATGATTGGTCAATATTAATATTAATATATTAACATGTGAAGATATAACATTATGTTGTGAGGTTATAATAAAGTTGATAATTCGATAAGTCAAGGCTACAAATATGATTTTTTTTATATATATATCATTTATCTACAATAATGATGTTGACAAGAAAAAGAAGTACTAATGCGAGTAAAAAACTAATATACCGATCCTTTGCAAATAAAATACAGTTCATCGGTGATATAAAACCTACAAAGGAATTGTGATGTTATGATTCCATTTGTGTTTGCTAATATTTGATTCCTACCCATGTTTGCCTGAACTAAACTAAAAACTGTTGTCTGTTCGTCCATGAAATGCACAAGATAAACATTTACCTATTTGAAAACATGTCAAATATTTTGCATGGAAATTGAACCCTGACACGCTTTTAAAAAAAAGTTGCAAACAAGCAACATAACATTGCATACAATTTTCATAATATCAATAACAAGAGGCACATATGGCCTGTATCGTTCACCTGGAAATCTCAGCAATCATGGCAAAATATTCTCCAAATGAGATCCAAGGGAATATGCCAGACTAGTACTATAATAACGTTAATTACATATACAGGGGGTATTTAATTGATTCCTGTTGAATATGTATTCAACGATAGGAATGATATATCTAATTTGTTTCATTTTTTATGTTCAACTATTTAGGAACAATGCATAAAAAGTGCGGAAAGTAGTATTGTAATATTTGACGTCATATGCACCATTGTGATAAGACAACTCAACACACTGTTAACACATTCTGTTATTATCTGGTAACATTTACTTGCGAGAATTTTATCAGTTTTGTAGTTACGTAAATAGCAGCAATAGAACAACTTATTCTACTGTCGCTTCGTTTGAACAGACATTCTTGGACTTCTCATCCAGTGAATAGATAGTGCTGTTCTGATTGGTTAATATTATAAGTAATATAATAATATATGAAGATAAAACATTTAGTTGTTAGGTTATTGAAAAAATTATAATTCGATATTTCAAGGGTAAAAATATAATAAAAATTGTTATATCACTTATATATAATAATGATGCTGGCAACAAAGGAATTGCAACTGCAAGTGAATAAGCGATTATACTTTAGTACGAATTAAATATCACTCTGTGTTCCAAACGTCTTCAACACAAGACAAATATCAAAGATGGTGTAACTGTTTAAAAATATTTCAAAATGGTTTCATAAAGATCTTTCTTCAATTAATGCAATTTAATACTGGAACACCATCTTATATCTTATATCAATATAGTAATAATGGTTGGTAATTAATCAGTCAAGGCGGTAATAGTAATACTGCTTACAATATTTACATCAACAGTCGAAATACATATCATTTGCAAACAAGATACAGTTCATGGGTAGTACTAATGTTACACAGTAGTAATGAGGTTATAGCAAGTCGTCGAGTGACTAACAAAGTAGAAAGTGAACAGTAAAACCTCGATATAATGCCACTCGCCTCTCTTCACTTGCAACCTTGCGTAACGCCAAAATAGTCCAATGTCACCTTTTCCCCTTAAGGGTTCCCTCAATTTACCGCCAAACTCCTTTACAACGCCAAAATATCTCTGAACAAGCAGTGGCAGTATAACGAGGTTTTACTGTATATATCATCATTAGAACAATATCGATATCAATATCTTGTTTTACACGTTAAAAACAAAAACTTGACAATTGAGTAATACAAAAAGGGAAACAATAATGAAACTATTTAATTGATTGTTATAATAAAAGTTAAAAAAAAAAATAAAAAAATAATGACGATAGAAAAGAAAATAATAATAATAATAAACGACCTTGGCTTGTTTTCAGTTATGAATTGTTCGAATCACAAATCAAGTAATAAAATGATTTAGAGAAAATGAAGAATACGCACAAAAAATTTTGTGAGTCATACCTTCAATTTTATTTTATGGAAGGTACATGGTGGCCAGAAATAAGGAAACCAAGCTTAACGACATACAATCCGAAATAACAGGTTGTGATGATTCCAATATAAACACGTACGTACTGAGTAGAAAATATATGCTTATGTACCGATAAATGGCTAGTAGACCAGCATTAGTATATAAAAAACGCATATTTACAAATTTCTCAAATAGACACCAAGAATAACATAAAATATCATCCAAGATAATATGCATAGAACGTGAGTAGTGTAAGCTTACCCTTTTATAAGCCTAACAAAACAATTGCTATTTTAATATTAACGTAAGTTATTGGCATTTGGATTCGTAAACTGTATATTTCCGTCGATACATCTTCATGGCTCAGTCCGGTGTACGATTGTTGTTTTTGTTCACAGTGGGGTTTGAAAAGAGACCGTTACTCCTATCATACATTGTCACCGATCAAGCCAGCAGATGGATCAGAGAAAATGTGTGGTGTATATAAACGTTTGTAGTAGCAGGGTAGTAAGAATCAAAATACCTTCATTAACCATCTGATAAAGGAATGTATTTCATGTTATTCGAGGCGGGATGAGAAGTTTCAAAATGACGCTGATTCAATTGCGTTCATAGCTCTATCAACGCAATTTAATCTGGCAATGCTTATTGATGAACTACCAGTGGAAATGTAAATATTTAGTTATAAATAAATACATATGTACAACAATAAAATGTGGAACAAATATTTTTGATAAGAGACAGGCTATCCAGAAGTGGTCTCCCGATTACACGGATAGTGACCAAATCCTTCATTAATTCTCTTACATCATATTTGTGATAAATGTTTTTGTTTCGACTCCGTCACGTGTTGGAATACATCGCACAATTTCATATTTTCCAAAAAATGATAACATAACAGAACTTGCGTTTTGTTTGGCCACAAGTCAAATAAATTAATAAAGCTATACTTTTATATAAATAAAAGATACTATTTTCATATAAATAAAATACATATTTGTACACAGTTCCACCTGCTGTGTTAAATCAAACAGATTAGTTTTGTAACTTTTTTTTGTGTTATAAGCAAATTGACTACAACTATTGTAATGAAATATAAAACAACTACAATATATTCAATGATAATATGCATCTGATAACACGCTAATGCATTTTCACAATTCATAGTTACTTATTGTAAAAAAAAATGTTAGATATAAAAAAAGTTATACAAATATACATGTATGTAAAATATATAAAGCCGATAGAAAAATACAAAAGTGTTTGATAAATTCATCAAGACATATCATTACAAGAAACACACGTGTTTAAAGGTAAAAACTGAAACAGTTCCGAATATACATGTATTTATGCATTGAATGTAAATCTACCACTTCATCGCCAATTCAGTCACATTTTTAAAGCAAAAATAAGATGTATTAAAAACAATCAACGAAACAGGAAACACCATTATACCCTCGAATCTGAAGTATTTCATGCTGTTAACTGTGATTGTTGACATAATAGTATATTGTCATTTATATACAAGTTATAATAATATATATTTACATGTATATACCGATTAAACGGCAGCAAAATCACAATTAAAAATCTGATTACTATATGTAATTTACTAATGAGATCAATCGATACAGAACTGAAATATATATTAAAAATGATAGAAAAACTGTAATAAAATTAAACAGCTATAGTCTTAAGTAAAACATGTTTTTATGGTTCTGTAAGATGAATCAATATAAAATGGGATTATATCAAAATATAATTACAAAGGTTATAAAGGTTAAGCATGTCAGACTTTTACAGTGTTGTAAAAAAACGGTTACAGAAAAGACAGCACAAATAATGAGGTTTCAACTTTCTATCACCCGTTGTCATAGTTGACATCAAATTTTATCAGTTTTATCAGTCATTAAACATTTATGATACAACACGTAAAAAAAATTATGTGCATGTAACAATGAGCGTTAAAATATGTCTTCCTAAAGCGTTATTCGATGTTTATGCTATGAATAGCCTTAATCAGGTATGCCAAAAATTTACCAGAAACTGCATTTACATAATAAAAATTGATTATCATTTTTTGTTTGGGATCTTACATTTTACTTATTTACCACTGAAATTTCATTATAAACTATTCCAACCTTTGAATTGGAGGAGTTCAAATGTGTCTTCAGGGATGAATGATTGCATTTATCGAACATATATATCATAGCATCTGCTCCCACGTTTGACTATCTTGTCACCCATTTTACCTTTCTAAGATTTTTCTGTCACACTTTATTTTAAAGTAACCCCGAAGAGTTTGACAGATGGCATGGCCTTGAATCCTATTTGAAAGACTAATTTCATACCTTAATACCCATCCCAAAAAAGTGTATGGTAGGTAGAATAAATAATGTCTCTGGAAATAATACGATCGTGTCGGGAATCCGAACACATCCGTCTTGAAAGGCTGGTGCCTTATTTAACTGATATCAATAATTAGAAGTGTAAAGTACAGTGCCTTTGTACAATCCTACTGGATCATTCAACATTTCATTGTAGAAATACACCATTACTTGACTCTTACGTCTGTGGACTATCTATCTGTTAACATCCATGTGTGAATGTAATTGGAAGTCACCGAAAGACAGGACAGAAAGAAAGGAGATAGGTAAGATTAGAAATGAAACAGATCCCAGGTGTTGCAAAAGCGTTGGTAGACTAATTTAGGTCGCTTCCATGTCCCCTTTCGTAGAAGACACGGAAGATTTTCTGCAAGGGTCCAACATAAGTCTCCTTCTACAAATGTACGATACATGTGCAGTGGGATACAGAAGGTATATTCTTGATTTGTTCATTGTCCCCGAATATTACTAACTATAGTTGATCCGATTGTAACGTTCCAGCACACCTCGAAACTCTGCGTAGAATTTCAATAAAAGTATTCACAAATATACCATGTGCTATTTCAATTTCACATAACCAAATCTCCATTTTACAAAGTGTACTGAAAATGGTAAGTCACCGCCTGATCTGCAGAAAAGTCAGGTACACTCTTTTGCGATTGTTCAAGTGTTAAAAAAGCGCATCGTGTTACTAGATTGTAGAACATTGCACAGTTGTATGCTTATGACCATTGAAATTTGTTATGACTGTTGCTTTTAGTATGCATTCCAAAATCATAAAGATGATAATGGCCTAATTTGATCATCAGTCAAGGTGACCCAGGTCTAACTAGAGAACGATTGAACTCATTTTTGTAATATATAATGCGCATGTGTAAAGAAACAATTACCTCTGTTGCGCATATCTGGACGACACTTGTTCAACCAATGAATTTCCTTCGGTCTGGTTTGAAAACCTTGATATCGTCTTCGCGTGCAGAATTATTTTTATCGCCATATGTAACCGCGTTAGATGGAAAAGCCTGGCCATGATAAATATGGTTGATGGTTTATACTCGGCCATAGAATATTACCATTATCAACATGGTATTATGTTATAATACAAAGTGTCGATTCCTTGCATCAAATATTAGTTCAAACTTCAAAATGTTCATTGAAATTGAAATTCCTTTTTGTTCTTTTACATGATTTCAGCCAACTGTCAATTAAATTTTGGAAAATATGAAACTAAAGCCATGCAAACACTGAATGTCGTCAAACGTCGTCGAAACTATCTAGTAAACACATGATATCAGAACCCTATTAGATAAGCTTTTCATAGATGTCAGCTAGATCCACGATTTTGAGATATCAATTGTCCGATGTGCTATTTCGGTGCGATGGATCAGCGTATCTGGATGTCAGTCCTAATATCCAGATACGTACCGGTTTCGTCAGCCAGTTTCTGGATGAATGTCTTGGTAACTGTTGTCATCGTAATTGAGCGAGAATTCTGCGTGTCGGTTGTTTAGTGTGAGGCACTCGAGAGCCTCGTGAAGTCTGTAGCACATAAATGTCTTGTCGCGGTCAGGCCATCTCCCTACATAGACCAAAGCTGGTGTCACCACATCGGCGTTTCCATTCCAGCTGACAAAGGAGACCAACCCTCCACTATGGCCTCTATCCCCAAAGGAAACTTCGGAATTTTCCGTTTCTTCAATGAGGTCAATCTTTCTTGGGCCATCACTGAATGGGATGTACACGCTATGATCGTGGCCGCAATCCCAAAGCCCGTTGTTTTCATTATCTTCTTCTTCGTCCTCTCTAGGTGTCAGGTACTGGAAGTCGACGTATTTTCCATAAGCAGTGCGGTTGTCTTTCCCCTTCTTGTAAACCTCACCCCCGCGTCGTTGATAGAAATTTCTGTCGAAAGCGCTTACGACCCTATTTCGACCGGGTGTTGGTCCTTGTATGCTGATATCAAACGGGTAGGGCTCTTTTACACTTACACAGGAAATATCCACGAAGCCATCACCAAGAAGGTTCTTATCTTCGACGCCATGAGTGTGGATACATACTCCAGTGGAAAGTACACAATTGCAGTGTACACCGTTCTCTTGTGTATGATCACAAAGATTGTCAAGCAACTTAACATGGACATTTTTCCTTGGAACAACATGTTTACATGTGAAGCAGACCAGATGCTTGTCTCTTATTCGTCTTCCGAACAGAGTAACAGATCCATAGCATTCCTTGCCAGACTCCCCGGTATACAAATGGAACTGTAATTTTTTTTCGGATGCCCGAAAATGAATGTTTTCTTTGGCAATTCCTGCATTTATTGCATTTTGGTCTCCACGTATGGCGTCACGAAGTTCCTGCATTAATAACGGTATCTTACCCTTCCATTTGTCTTCGCAAACGCTCACTTCAAAGTCGCCTTTCCAGTATCCGAAGGATTTCAATCCTGGTATCCTGATAAAAGCAATTAGACATTGTTACAGAATATTTTCAAAAATGCTACAGAAAGTATGTCATATCTTAATCACAAAATGAATAAACAAATAAATAAAAATACACAAATATATTTATACTACATGAGTAAATCAATAAAATCAAGCAAAATAATACAGCTTAATTTTAAAACAATAAATACACTGATGTGAATAATTTTTTCAACGATTCTTTATAAGGAGTTTAAATTTTACTCAATACGTTTTTGCTTATCTTATACCGATAACCCGTTAAAGCAAGATTAGATAGATACAATTCAAAGTAAAAGGAGTGATTGAAAAACGAATAAGTATTCACTTACCGACAGAGAGAGATTTGGGCGCCGATTTGTACGTCGTCACTGAACCTCTCACAGACAATGTTGTTGAACAGTTCGTAAATTTCTTGCAAATGCACTTTTGCAAATTCAAAATACCTCATTAATGCTCTAGTAGCATGTTGAATTTCGTTACTCATTGCAGTCGAAATGTTTTGTCTGTCATCGACAACGATTTGGATAATCTGATTAGCGATTGCATTTGGACTTCCACAATGTTTACGCTGAAGAACATTTCCTTTCGAGAACATGATCGTTCCAGTGACAATTCCGCTAAACATGCTTGACGAGTTGCTTGATAGGTACTCATGCACGAAATAGCTCACGTGTTTATAATTTATTTCAAGACTTGCTTGTGAGCAATATCTCTGCAGTGCCTGTTTTGTAACAAGCACCCCGTACTGCGGGAGAATGCTCCCAAGAAATCTGTTAGTTTGCTTTTCACATTCATTGCTTAGATTCAGCTGTCGATCGATTTCCTGTTTTGCCAAATCATGGAGTTTTTCATGTGTAGACTGAAACACATCAAGAAGATACACCCGAACCTTTTCTTTTGAGCGGTTCTCATCATCTTTTTGCAAGAATGGCATCGTACATAAGGAGTGAAGGTAGTTGATCTTCTTGCCAACATGATCCTCTAGATATCGCGAAATGACCTTGAGTAACATTCTGTCATGCCTATGGAAGATTCGAGAACCTTTGCATTCATCTGGATAGCTTACATCCGGGTTGTTCTTCAACAGACTATTTACATAATTGCACATCTGTGACCTAGAGGTGACCTTCTCGTCAATAACGAACAGCATTCTCCGTAGAGATCTTTCGTCGAGGCACTGCGCTTTAAGCATTCGGACCACTTCATCCTACAATTCAAAAATGATCCATTAAACATTTATATAGTAAAGATCGATATATCACTCCAAAAGAACTGCAATATTGATAATGAAAACACAAGAAAAAAGCATAATTTGATATATATACGTACCGTAAACACCATTAAATTGATGTGCATTAAGGGCCTCCGTACCAGTTTCGAAAATGTTACTCTGAATTTGTTTCTTCATCGGCAAGAAATTAGCTATCAAAAATTATTTCCAAAAGCCACCAGATCAATAGTAGTTTCTTAACCAAATCTTGCTACAGCTATATCCAAAATTATTATTAAGGGAAAGTTTATGTATATATAAACAAGAAACCTAGTGGGCCTGTATCGCTCACCTGGATATTTAAGCAATCGTAGTATTCATTAAATATTTTACTGTTCTTAAAATATTTCCAAATATTGGCTCTGTCTCTCAGCAACACCCTTGCATAAATTAGTCCCATCCCTCTGTCTCCATTGAGGTTGGGCAAGGTTTATATACAAGATTGAATTCTTTTTCGCCTTCATCAGGGCACACCCTTCATTGTATATAAAATTGAGTCCCACTCGCCCAAGAATGCTCTACAACAGATTTGTTTTAAACCCCTCCATTCATTCAAAAGAAAGATTTGGAAAATCTATTTCAATGTTCTTGATAATCGGACCCGCATCTCTGCCCCCTGAGGAGCCATACCTTCCGTTTTATACAAAATTAAATACCACCAAGGATGCTTCATACAAAATTTGGGGTGGTTTTTTTTTTTTTTTTCAAATATTTTATTTCCCCCAGCCAAATATTATATATATATATATAATACTGATGAGTATATACATATATATATATAAATAAATTGATAGGAACTGCCAGGGTTGGGGAGCCCTGGAGTCAGTCCCCTAAACAATATGGTGTCCTCACACAGGAGGGCTCTCATTCATTTTTCTCTGTTAATTTTATCTAAATTCAAATATTTCAATTTCACAACATTTTTTCATCAATATATAACATTCAGAAATTTGATTGGGGAATAAAACATTTGTACATAGAGTATTGGACATCTAGAGAACAAGAACATACTAGATGTACCACATTTCACACACAGCACACACATCCAGACGTGTTTACATATACATCAGTATCATAATCACTTAACATTAACAAAACACTTATACACACACATATACATACACATATATATACGTACATAACATACACTCCTACGACCTACATACGTATATACATACATGCATACACATGCACGTACATATACACTAACATCAGCAAGTTTGCATGCACTTACATACGTACACATGCATGTAAATACAAACATACATGCACATTATTGCATGTATTCATACAAAATTTGGTTAATATTCCTTCATTCGTACAGCGTTTTGTCTGATGTCGGTCGGGAATCCTAAAAACATTATAATCAGATTTCTTTGATTTTCCGAGTAATGCTACAAGGATCATTTACACAAAATTAAGTCGAACTCCGACTTAAAACTACTAAAGTACAATGTACTCCATACTTAATCAAAGGTCAAGGTTATCATAAATTAATGAGTAACATGTGTTTTATTTGTTTTATATTCATCTACAGAAAATCAAACACATGATTCATTATTTTGCCGATAAAAGTGCTGCTCTTTCAAATTACAAAATGCAGACAGCAAGAAAGTGTAATATAGTTATGAATTAGAAGGTACAGAACAGGAAAACAATGGGGTTCTACGTAAAAAGATATAATGGTTTACCAGGTATTTTGGCTTCAATTTCAAATTATTAATTTGTATTTTTGGAGTATAAGCTGCACGTTTTTAATTAAAAAGACAATAAAAATGACTTCAATTGATTAATGGTACTATATCTACACTCAATATACGATATTTTTATTGTAAAATGCGTCAAATCCGAAACAGTTTCTGCATGTATTCTCTTCTCAAAACTGTGTAAAATTTTAGTGCGAGTTTTCTAAATTGTAAAAAAAAATGAGTTAATAAAACATCACATGCAAAAAGTTGTTTATTCGTTATTTTACATTTTAGAAAATGTGTAACTCCCTCCAAAAGTGATTAAAATCAGTAAAAACTTAATCGAAAACAGCTTTGGTGGCAAATATGGGCATGCATTGATCACCTTGTATTAATCTCACAATTATAACCTTGAAAGAAGACTAAAACTAGAACCTGGAAGCCAAAGGCTAACTAATACCCCCGCTCCTATATAAGCCAGAACTGTAAGCTAAAGGCTTAATAATGTAAAGTTATATAGTCTTCCACCAGTAATGATTTCTTTATTGGCTGAGCTGTACACTTATTTAAGTATATACATTTTTTAGGTCACTCATATACTTCCTGTACTCCCTCTCGATGCCAAAACATACTTGCAAATCAAAACTTGTTAGCCCATATCGAGTTTTGCTGGAAGAGGTAATGGAGATATCTCCTCCAATTCTAGGGACCAGCCTGATAAGCTCTCCACTGTATAACCAAGAGGTTTGGGGCCCATGTTTGGTTTGGTTTAGTATTGTTTAACGTCCTATCAACAGCTATTTAAGGACAGCCTCCCCTGTGTGCAAGATGCATGCGTGTAGTGTATGCGTGTGTGCTTTGGGAAGCTGCGATATGTTCGTGTTTGTCTCCTTGTGATAGCGCGGAACTGATGCCGACTTTATAGTGCTACATTACTGAAACATACTGCCGAAGACAACAAGCAGAACACACGACCCGGTCACATTATACTGACAAAGGGTGAACCAGTCGTCCCACTCCTAAATTGCTGAGCGTTAAGCAGGAGTAGAAACTACCATTTTTTTCAGACTCTGGTATGTCTCGGCCAGGGGACAGAACCCAAAGCCTTCCTCACAGGGACGAACGCTCAACTAAAGGCCAAAAGTGAGGCATTGTCAAAAGAAACATTAGAAAGAAGAAAATTGTTCAGAAAGAACAGAAATGATAAGATCCCAGATTTAATCGCCTCCTACGATCATGCAATGGGGTCAGCAGGTACAATTCTTACGCCCTACCTGCAGGGACCCATGATTTTGCTTATCTAAATAAAACAAGTATTTCGCACAAAGGGGCATAACTCCAAAAAGGTCCAAATTAAAATACCGGTGCACAACTACATAAGATACCGATCATTCATGCAAAGTTTCAATGAAATTGACCGGTTAGTTAAGGAGGATTTGCGCGGACAAGTATTTAACACAAAGGGGCATAAATCCATCAAAAAGGGTCGAAATCCCAAATTAAAATGCCGGTGCACAATTGAATAAGATACTGATCATTCATGTAAAGTTTCAATGAAATCGACCTGTTAGTTAAGGACAGACAGACAGACAGACAACTTGTTGCGGAGGTATAATAAAGCTTCAGGCAAAATATAAGTGTCTTGACTCAAAGTCATCAAACAAATTGTTAAAAGTCTTAGACACATATGACCCCTCTGACCTTGAAAGTTATGAAGTTGAACAAACTTGATGGCCCTTCATCCCAGGATGCAACTTGCCAACTTGCCAAATATCACCACCCAATACCTTTTGTTTATGGAGATGATTTTACAGGTTTATACACAATTGACAATATGTTACCCTGAACGTGTGTCAAGGCTATTCACATGAACTTTATCGATAGTTTTTCAGCTGAACATGCTACTTGTCACATATTCAGAAGAAGTCATTTATATTTTTTCTACATATTTGATCCCTGTGACCGTAAAAATAATTCAAGGTCATTCTTTTGCACAACTGTTTTTCAAACCTTTCATACCAGCATGCCACTGGCTAGATACCATCATCATAACCATCATTTTTATGAAGGTGAAGTCATTAAAAAATTGACATACTTGACTCCTGTGACCTTGAATATGGGTAAAAGTCATTCATTGGAAATTTGGTAGCCCATCACCCAGCATGATTCTTACTTAATACCATCACCCTGGATATTTTGGTTATTTAGAAGAAGCTGATTAAAGATTTCAACGTATTTGATCCCTGTGACCTTGAATATGGGCAAAGGTCATTCATTTGAACAAACTTGGTAGCACTTCATCCCTGCATGCTTCTTGCCAAATAGCATCGCCCTGGACCTCTTGATTTTTCAGTAGAAGTCATTTGAAGGTTTTTTAAGACAATTGACCCCTGTGACCTTGAATATGGGTAAAGGTCATTCGTTTGAACAAACTTGGCAGCCCTTTATCCGAGAATGATTCTGGCCTATCATCAAAATCATGTACATTTTTGTTATTCAGAAGAAGTTGTTCAAATGTTATGCAAGACCATTGACCCCTGTGACCTTGAATATGGGCGAAGGTCATTTATTCTAACAAACTTGGTAGCCCTTAATGCCAGCATGCGTGTGGCAAAATATCATCACCCAAGGCCTCTTGATTATTCAGAAGAATTCGTTTCAAGGATTTATCATATTTGACCCCTGTGTCTTGCATATAGGTCAAGGTCTATTTTAACAAACTTCATTCCAACATGTAACTGTCCTAATATGCATGCACGGGACATTATGGTTATTTAGAAGAAGTTTTTTGAATGTTTTTAAGATATTCAACCCCTGTGACCTTGAATAAATATCAAGGTCATTCATTTGAACACATTTGGTAACCCTTCATCCCAGCATGCTACTGGCAAAATATCAACATTCTTGACCTTTTGTTAATAAGAAGATTTTTTCCGAATGTTTTTAAAGATATTGATCCCTGTGACCTTAGATAAAAGTCAAGGTCATTAATTTGAACAAACTAAGTAGCCTTTTGTCCAAGCATGTTATTTGCCAAACAGCAATACCTTAGGCTTCTTCTTCACTCATATGAAGTCGTTTCAAGCTCTTAAACATGTTTGACCCAAGTGAGCATAAGTAAAAGTTAAGGTCATTCACACAAACAAACTTAGTAGCCCTTTATTCGAGCCTGTTACTAGCTTAATATCAACACCCTAGGCCTCTTTTATTTTTATTTTGAAGGAGTCGTTTGAAGTTTTTTTTTACATATTTGACCCCCTGTGACATTGAATAAACGTCAAGGCCATTCATTTGAACAAACTTTTTAGCGCTTCATCCCTGTATGTTATTGGCCAAATATCACCATCCTGGTCCTATTGGTTATTTAGAAGTAGTTGTTAACGATTTTAACATATTTGACCACTGTGACCTTAAAAATAGGCAAAGGTCATCCATTTGAACAAACATGGCTGTCCTTCATCCAAGCATGTAACTGGCCAAATATTCAAAAGTTTTAAGTAAAAAGTTGTCGGACGGACGACGGTTGCCACACCACGGCATAAGCTCACTTGGCCCTTCGAACCAGTTGACCTTAAAGTGGCAATTAATATGTCTATAGCAGTTCATCTGACCCCTTTTCAGAGCATGGCACTCAATCCTCCCTAGACACACATACATATTGTATTTTTCACAAATCATCGACCTCCACGTGATTATGATCCTACCAATGATGATGTAGGAAAACGTGTCATATTCTATATATATATATATTATATATAATGGTATGGGTCAAAGATAAGATTCATGGCGACGCTACTTTGTGACAATATGCCTGCAAAAACAGACATGGACTGTTGGCAGGCCACGCTGACAGTTCACGCCTTCCCCCGTATGGCGTATTTGTATGACAAGTTGATAAGATCACTGTTGGAATTACTTCTTTGCCCCATATATATTATATAAGATATATCAAATGATAATATATATAAATAGGAAACTTAATACTTACACAATCAGCGGTCATACAGTCTCCTGAGATCAATGCCAATAACACAGATGGCGTTTTTTTACCCTTCATACTAGAGCACATGTTGTCTACAGAACAACGATCAGGTTCCACTGCCCCATCGCACAAATGCTTTGACAGAAATTCCTGAACTTCGATCGAACTGCCATCCGTTGTTTTTTTCACGACATACAGTGTTACTGGACAGAAAACATTGTCGATGACAGACGCTAAGTTGTTCCGGAGTTCTTTTGGCTCAAGTGGCAATGATATTTTGAATGTATCTAATTTCCCGTACAACTTGTCATACAAATACGCCATACGGGGGAAGGCGTGAACTTTCAGCGTAGCCTGCCAACAGTCCATGTCTATTTTTGCAGGCATATTGTCACAAAGTAGCGTCGCCATGAATTAGCGAGATCTCTGGCTCAAAATCTCACGATCAGAACATCGACAATCCGGCCAAACTCCATATTTCATTCGGCCTACATACTGTCCTGTTTCACTGGGCAGCCATATTGTGTGTTGCCGCAGACTTATATATAGTCTATTTGGGAATCCACAACGCTATACATAGATTTGTAGGTTATATTAAGCCTACACATACACTTGGTTTTTCCTAATACATTCTCATACTACGGATGAATGGTGGCAAACGCTTTCAATACAAATAGTGAAATACATATACAATGTACAAAAGACTATTGATTAAGATGGGAGATTTATCTTAAATTTAATTTAATATCATTCTGTGAATGACAAAATGTATTGAGTTATTTTAAGTCATTAAAACTGTCTGATTACATCGTGATTGCTACGTATTGAAACACTTAGGTCTCCAAAATATATCTCAAAAGTATTTAAAAACAAGAGGCCAAGAGGGCCTGTATCGCTCACCTGGATACCAAAGCAATCATGGCAAAATATTCTCCAAATGAGATCAAGGGAATATGCCAGACCCCAAGGCCAATCCTTGTAGCATATCTGTATTAGAGTGTTCATGCCCAGCAATTTTATGTATGGTTATGGGGTGGGGATCTCAACTGTTTCCAAGCTTTGACCCAGAAACTAGGTCCCTAGGGTTGTGGCCAGACCCCATGATCAATTCTAATATCGTGACTGCATTTGTATCTTTTTGCCCAGCATTTGTATATAAAGTTTTGGGGTGGGGATCTCAACCGTTTCAAAGTTATGACCCAGGGGTTAAGTCTGCAAGGGTGGGGCAGACCCCGGGGTCAATTCTAATATCATGACTGCATGCGTCTTTTTATGCCCAACAATTGTATATATAGTTTTTGGGTGGGGATCTCAAAAGTTTTAAAGTTATGGCCCAGGGACTATGTCTCCAAGGGTGGGGCCAGACCCTATAGCCATCCTGGAAGCAAATGTGCATTCTTCTCTTTATACTAAGCAATTGTATACCATGGTTATATGGTGGGGATCTCGACCATTTCCAAGTAATACACTTTTTCTGGCCCCACCCCTTAGCCCTGGGGGTCAGCCCCACCATTGGTACAATTTTGAATCCCTGCCTCCCATGAATGCTTCCAACCAAATATGATCAATATCCATGGCATAGTTCTACAGAAGAAGTCGTTTATAGCAATATAGCCAAATTGCCCCCTTTTTGGCCCCGCCCTCAGCCCCACCATTTGTACAATTTTGAATCCCCACTACCTAAGAATGCTTCTAGTCAAATATGGTTGATATCCACTTCTTAGTTCCAGAGAAGAAGTCGCTTAAAGCAATATTGCCAAATTGACCCCTTTTTTGCCCCGCCTCTCAGCCCCCTGGGGGGTCAGCTCCATCATTTGTACAATTTTGAATCCCCACCACCTATGGATGCTTCAAGTCGAATATGGTTGATATCCATGGCATAGTTCTACAGAAGAAGTCGTTTGTAGCAATATAGCCAAATTGCCCCCTTTTGGCCCCGCCCCTCAGCCCAACCATTTGTACAATTTTGAATCTCCACCACCTAGGGATGCTTCCAGTCAAATATGGTTGATATCCATCTCTAAGTACCAGAGAAGAAGTCGCTGAAAGCAGTATAGCCAAATTGTCCCCTTTTTGCCCCGCCCCTCAGCCCCCTGGGAGGTCAGTCCCATCATTTGTACAATTTTGAATCCCCACCACCTAGGGATGCTTCCAGTCAAATATGGTTGATATCCATTTCTTAGTTCCAGAGAAGAAGTCGCTTAAAGCAATATTGCCAAATTGATCCTTTTAGCCCCGCCCCTCAGCCCCCTGGGGGGTCAGCCCCACCATTTGTACAATAGTGAATCCCCATCACCTAGGGATGCTGCCAGTCAAATTTAGTTGAATTCTAATCAGTGGTTAAGAAGAAGTCGTTTAAAGAAATTGTTGACGTACGGACGGCCAGACGGACGGACGACGGACGGACGACGGACACATCGGTATGGCATAAGCTCAGGTGAGCTAAAAAAATAATCAGTAAGAGTTTAAATATGTTGATGAATAATGACTCAAAGGAGAGAGAAAAAAGAAGGGATTCTTACATCACCAAATTCAAAACATAGACAAAGCATTATAACACATTTCTATTTAAAATTTATATTTTTAATGAATAAAGAACACCTTCAATGTATTTTATCTAAAACTGTATTATTATGTGTCAGAAAACGACGGGCAACCACATCATTGTAAATGGTCTTAATGAATATGTTAATCGTTTTTACTGTAATATTGATGTATGTATACTGTGATAATACTTGAATGCATTGTTGTTATTTTAGCGATATATTATCCGCTTAATAGTTTAAATGACATTTGTATAGTGAGTATATGTACACTCTGTGATACATGTATTGTTTAAATGAATGAATTTAATCCAGAAATATCTTAATATGCTAACAGTTTAAATGTTATGTTGTATATATGATTGTGATATATATATATTATGTTGTATTGTGATAACGGTGTATCATAGGTCAACACTGGCCGGACATTTCTTACACATAGTTCTTACACATTGTAAAAAGTATTTTATGATGCATGCGTGTATTGAAATTTGCGACACGTTAATAAGATATTGATCATTAAACTATGATTATTATTATTATTATTGTAACGTTACTCTGCATTTTGATGGGCTCCATTCGGATATGTGTCACTAAGTTGATAATTTACCTGTGACAGTAAAACTAATCGTAGCATTGACATTTCACTTTTTTTGGTGTGAATAAATAAATGTTTAGGTTGGGTTAGGGTTTAGGGTAAGGGTAACCCTAAATCCGCGAGAATATTTTATCGAGAATGAAACATACTTACTATAAATACGAAAAAAGGAAGTACATATCTAAAAATAAGTAAGCCAAACAATAACGTATTAGGGAGTAGACGTATATCATTTCATGACGATGCACTATTTTGTTGCAATCTTTGTTGTGAAAATGTTATATTTTGCTACATTTGTACAAATTGCTTATTCGCAATCATAATAACAGATAATTGCAAGATATCGAACAAAGCCAATTTTCATACATGAACTTAAAGAGAAAACTGGAAGATTTCGAACAAAGCCCAGATTTATAAAGAAAACAAGAACAGTTGGAGGACTTCGAACAAAGCCCAGATTTATGAATAAAATAATGAGATAATTGAGAAATCTCAAACAAGTCTTCATCACAACATTTATCAAATAATCAAAAACAAACAACATACTGAATCATGATAATTTTATTTGATCCGCAGCAGTAAAATGTGTTTACCATCCTACCCGGTCTCTTCGATGGGTTAATCCACCATTTACATGCGACAAAATTGACATACATAACTATTTTGAGCCTTTTTGTCCAAATTATCCCTGTCTATAGTCAAACTCTCACCAACAGGCCAATTAGACCTGTAACATCCTTATGGTAATAGATTGTTTTAAACCTTCTAAGCCAATTTGTAAGATTAATCTACGAAAAGCATACTCTTTTACACCTGGAAACCGTATTCATGAAACCGTCTTCATCTCAAGAATGGATTTTGTGCTCAAGCCTCATTTCTTGTTCCCGTTATAAATTAATAATAAAATCTTACTTTGTCAAATATTTGGGGAAAAATTGTAGAGACTTAAAGGCGAATATTGTTTTCAATGTTAACATTAGACTTTTTGATGAATTGAAATGATTTAAATGAGTTAATAGTAAGTTGGTTCGGGAATAAAATCGATGCTTGAGCATGAGAACGGTTTCATAAACACGGGCCCAAATAACAAAATCTTTTAATGGAGAAAACAAATTTTGTAAACTGCATCATTCAAACAAATATAACAAACAGAAAAATTTGCCGTGCACAATATTTTGGACAACATATTTTCAAAAGTGGAAAACGGACGAGGAGTATTGCGCTATGATTTTACGTCAGACAACAGAATCACGTGGCCTTTTAGGCTATATAAGAAAACATACAACTGAATCCTTTTCAACAAACAAGCAACAAGCAGGGAAAGAAGTAGTGTTCAACAAACCATATACGTGTACTGCACAAAAACTAAACAGGAATTAACACACATGAAAAAAATTGCAATATATTTAGCAAAACCAAAACTTTATGGCGATATACATACATATATATAATCAAATTATAATAATCATAAACCTATATAGAGTAGTCCTAACCCTTTCACCACTGTAGACCATATTGGACTCACCCAGATAAATGTATGGTAGAGTCTACTAAAGTTACCTAGGGGTGAAAGTCTTAATCCAGCTACTAAACCCTGTTTAGAAAATATGAATAAACGTTATCAACGAACAAAGACATAAACACAGTATGATCACTTTATACCGGAAATGATACTATTTTGCATTCCTCTCCCCACCTTGTACATTGTGACATAAAAACATATAATTTGTGAACCGCTTTGAGACGACCCAGGAACTAGGTTGTGATAAAGCGGTATATACATGTAATAACCTCCAATTATTATAATTATTATTTTACTGTAGAATTATGAAAAACAATCATTATTATTTACTGTATGCGTGACCTTATCAAGTGAAGTGATTATTTACCCTTTCAACCCTATGCAACTTTAATACACTCGCCCATGCATTGATCTGGATGAGTCTATTATGGTGAAAGGGTTAATAGGTAAGTGTTCTGCACTTGATGCGTTGGAATTTTAAATCCAAGTGTACATGAACTATTTATCAGTAGCATCATGGTGGACGAAGTTGAACGTGTAAGAGATAAAAACAATTAGTAATATTGTACACCGATCTACTCAAACAAAAACGTCAACCAAATAGCATATTCCGTCTTTGCGTGTTGCAGAGTTATCTTCTCTTTGGAGCAGGTATCGATTGTTACGTCATTGGTTTGTGTGAAAAATTTACGTCGTTTTCTCAAAAATTGATGACGTTACTCTCACAAGCCAATGACGTAACAATCAATACCTGCTCACAAGATAACTCTGCAATACGCAAAGACGGAATAGACATATTGTAATAATTATAATGATGATGTGATTATAAAATGAAAAATCAATGTGACATCATGACATTAATT